CTTTTCACTAATGGTTTCAAAAACACAAAGTTTGTTTTCTTAGTGAAGGCCAGACTTCAGGGGTATCTGAGGCAGGCTTGAAACACAAGAGTCAGGGTGGCTTCTGGGTAATACCAGATGGCTAGGCCTCAGACTGACGAAGCCTCTTGGATGAGGGGCGAAACGTTTCTTTTTAACAAAAAAAAAACAAAGTCCAGATGACATGATTCAACCTTTTTTGTCGTTTTGAGTTGTGTTCACTGACAACGTTGTCACATTACAGACAGGTTTACAGTGTCAGTAATTGCATTGTTTGATACAACTGAGAGATTTAGCATTAGCTTCCAATAATTTCCTTAATCTGCTTAGTGGTTTAGCGTTAGCAAAACTAATTTTTTTTTAGCAAATTAGCGGTTTGTGAAGATAACTTTTATGAGGTTGGACCTTCTATCAGGATTCTGTCGTGCTGAGGAGGGTTCATAGCTGGTGCAAAGAGAATAAACTTCACATCAATGTGAAGAAGACAAAGGAGATGACTGTGGACTTCAGAAGGAACAAACACACCTATACCCCCCTGAACATAAGAGGATCTGCAGTGGAAGTGGTCTCCAGCTACAAGTACTTGGGTGTACATATGAATGACAACCTCAGCTGGAGCAACAACACTACCAGCCTGATCAAGAAAGCTCGTCAGAGGCTCTACTTCCTCAGGCGGCTGAGACGAGGTGGTCGGGGAAGCTCAGTCCTCACCTCCTTCTACAGGTGTGCAGTGGAGAGCATCCTGTGCTCCATCATCAACGTGTGGCATGGAGGCTGCACAGCTGCAGAAAGAAAAGCCTTGCAGAGAGTAGTGAAGGCTGCACAGAAGACTGTTGGAGTTAGTCTCCCCACCATCACAGACATCTACACCTCCAGATGCAGGACGAGGGCCACCTGCATCATGAAGGACCCCACTCACCCAGCACACACACTTTTTGCCCCACTCCCCTCATGCAGGAGGTTGAGGAGCATTAAGTGTAGAACCACTAGACTGAGGAACAGCTTCTACCCTGAGGTTGTTAGACTCATGAATCTCTAACCAGAATAATCACTGTGAAAAAAATCACATTGTGTTGCTGCTGATCTGTTCAGTGTTGCTACTGATCTGTTTCATGTTGCTGCTGCTCTGTTTCGATGTTGATGTGTTCATGCATGCTCATCTGCTCACACAGACTCATGTTCATGTTTGTGCTGATGTTTGACGTAATGTTTTTATGCCATTAGTGCTTAGTGTTTTTTTATTTGATGTTTTTCTTAGTTCATATCTTAGATGTTATTACTGTTTTTCTTTTACATCTTATTGTTGGATGTAACTGGGACCCTGTGTACATAATTTTGCTCCACCACATGTACCACGAGGTACGAATGACAATAAAGAATCTCTGACTCTGACTCTGATAGATCAAGTGTCAGCCCTCTTGAACTTGCTACATGGTCACTATTTCCAGCAGTTCATTAAAGATGACCTGCCACTGTTATTATTATCATCAGTCTATGTAGATTAGATGCTTTATCTTTTTCTTCCTCTTATAGATGGATAAGCAACAGTGACCTGATACTAGTTTGTGGTATGGGAAGAATCTTATGTCATGTCAAAGCTTTTTATTTACTTGTTACATTTTCCCAAAGCGACCCAGATCATGCCAGAAATCTTAGATCTATTTATTCTAATATTTTTGCTTGACATTTAAACCAATAAATCAATTATTTTGACTGGGCTTTGTCTCTATTAAACAAAAACAACAGAAACAATGTTCCCCTGACAAATTAATATTGACTTTTTTTATTATGGGAATTTTTTTTATTTAACAGAGAACACATTGTTTTTCCCTACATTAGTTTTACTTTCTTCCTTGCCCTGATGTCACCTATTCATGCGACTTCCTACCGACTCTCGGTAGAAAACAAAACCACAGGTAGCTGCAAGGCTTGTGGAGAGTTGTGTTAATACATGCCAATTAATTATTTGTTGTTTTGTTTTTCTGCTGTATTACTTTATTTAGCCTTGTACAGAGGTATTGTTCCTGGATATCTTCCACAACTACAGCCAGACCCTGACACCTGTTCTACTGGACATGGTTCAGAATCTTCAAGGTCAGTGAACTATTCACCCATCTGCTAGCTGCTCAACAGACACATTTTTTTATTGACTTTTTGAGTGAATGCAAATACTTTTCTTATGCTACAAAAATATATTCAAGTGAAAGCTAATGTGGTTACTCTGGCTCGAAAATGAACTTCTTTAATCAATAAATCATTTTCAGTTTGTGTGTTTGTGGTGCAATACCGAGATATTTTTAAAACAAGTATTAACAATGATGTGCAAATATTTTAAATCATTCTTGTTTGCTACACATTACTTCAATGATTCATAGGTCAGAGTTCAGGGACTTAACACACACACTCATGCATGCATGCACACGCACGCACGTACACGCACGCACGTACGTACACGCACGCACGTACGCACACACACACAAATAATTCTTCAAAAAAATTGTCAAATATGGACTGAAAAATAAATTAAAGATGGCCAGAGTCCAAATAAAAGCTTAAAAATCAACCAGAAAGCCTGAAGAGCTATTGATCTAGACCAATTTAAAATATCACAAAAAAAAAAAAAAAAAAGCTTGCTTTTTGCGAACTACCTTAATCTCTGGATTATAAGCTGCTACTTTTTTCACACACTTTGAACACTGCGGCTTATACAATGCTGCGGCAAATTTATGGATTATTTTTTGATGGGCTAATGAGCTTCATGCCACCAAAACATTTAGATTCGTTACACCCAGGCACTCACATAGCTGCCCAATATACATCTCTCTTGTGGGGTAGCGATCAATGACTTCCTGGAAGACTACTGTATTTTTTTTATCAGCTGTGTTACAGGCACTGTTCAGAAATAAAAACATTTACTGTATTTGTGTGTGTTACTGGTATGTATTTAATTAAAAGTTAAAAAATTCTAAATATCTCATGTTACAACGTGAACACCCACGGCTTATAGACAAGTGCAGCTATTTATGCAAAATTTTAATTTTCTTTTTAAATTTAACGGGCACTGCTTATATTCAGGTATGCTCAATAGTCCAGAAATTACAGTAAATATAAAAAGAAAAACGACAGATGACATACAGTGGCACTTGAAAATTTGTGAACCCTTTATACTTTTCTATATTTCTGCATAAATGTGACCTAAAACATCATCAGACTTTCACACAAGTCCTAAAAGTAGATAAAGAGAATCCAGTTAAATAAATGAGACAAAAATATTATGGTCATTTATTTATTGAGGAAAATGATCCAATATTAAATTACTTGTTTTCAAAATATGCTTTACAGATAATTGTCTTACCTTGCTTGCACAGGAAGCCTTAATGTCAATTAATGGTAATAGGTCACTTTACTATTAATATTTGACCTGAAAAATTTCTGGTATGTAATAGAGTTTTATGTCTGAGTAAATAAGACGTACTTTATACATCAGGAAATCACAAAACGTGTTCACTTTTTCACATTGCTGAAAGTAAGTCACTGCTATCAGTAACATGTAATCTATAGTCTTGACAGTACGGTGAAGTTCCCTGGTGATTACCTGCACATCCTCTTCTCATTTCTCTAGTCACCCAGTCAAATACACACATTTGTTACACAGCTTCTGGTCTCCTGAGGGAAATGGTGTGGAGCTTCTGTCCTGTTGCTGAATTAGTGGTGCCATTGCTCACATGGGTGGATCACAGGGGCCTGCTTCTGCACTTTTCTTTCAATCTACTTCCCCTTTTCTAGTGACAAAGTGGAAATTGGCTCTGCTGGAATAAGAGGCAAAAAAAGCCAGATTTAGTAATGCTATAATTGAAAGAAAGCATCTATTGATTTGTGAAGTCTTACAGCGCACAGACTAATGGAAAGAGAGAGCACTCTGGTAAAATTACTTGAGCACAATTAATACTGTGGGGTCGAGGCTTCTTTAAGTTTGATCTGTCATTCGATGTTGGAACGGGATCCATTGCATTCCACATATCATTTGTTGTCATTAAACAGTTTTTTAAAATAAAGAAGTATATGGCTTACTTTGTTATCTAGTTATCTTGTCATTTAAACTGACTCAAATGTATGTTTGCAGGCCCAACCGATGTGGAGGACCGTGTTCAGTTGCTAATGAAGGATGCAGGTCAGTCAAAGAGTTATCTACAGTTTTAGGGTTAGGAGTTGATCTTGATAACTCCGAAAATATATGAACCTTTTTTTTTTTTTCTAAATAATTATAAAAATTGCCTGTTTGAGATTTTTTTAATTGTAAACAATACATGATATTTAAACTGATTAATCCTCCTGCTGCACTTGGGGCAAAATGACTAATGCCTCAGTTGTGAAACAGAAGTTTCTTGGGTCAGCATGAACAAGAGTCACTTTCACCTTGCCTGTGAAGCCAGAATTTCAACTTAAAAAAATTTGGTCTAATCTTTAGATTGTTCTTTTGTGCATTTGCATAATGAACTTTATTCTAACAATGCTGCTCCACCACTCAATCAGTCTCTCATATTCATGTTTTTTCCCCTTATTGCTTCTATTCTCCTTTCTACCTTTTTTTTTTTGCTGTCCATAACTCTTTTGGCATGCCCAGACTGCCACTTATTACGATTTATGGCATACACACATAAATCATTGTGTGTTAAGAGGGTCACTGATCCTGGATACTTGTAGAGATATCTCCAAGTTATTAAAGCTGTAAGCTCCATTGGCATGATGAAACTGTGCTGTGATAAAGAGGGTTCAGGAGCCCAACATGCACTTAATGTAGACATGTTTATTAATAATTTTTTTGAAAAATAAATAAAACAAGTAAAAAAATACAATTTTGCAAAGGCAGTGTGAGCTTTTAGACCACACCTATTGTAATAAAATTTCTCCTGTTTTTTGTTTCTTATTGATGAATTGCCATCATGTGACAGATGACACTTGATGGCCTGGCATACTCCATCCAAAGCTGCAAAATCGTCTCTCATTGACGTAGTGGCGTGATGAGAATCGTGTCATTTTGTTCCCAGAGCAGCTTCGCCCGCCCCTTTTTGGCACAAGACCCTGACCAAACTTTTTCTGACAGCCGTATGTACCAAGTATTGTTGGTCAGAAGTTTGCGGGCGTGTTCGTCAATGCAGAAATGCGCTCGGTCATTCAGCTGTATGACATTTCAAACACTAAATTAGTCAAATGGCCAAAAACTCCTGGATGGAGATTGTGCAGACATTGTGTAGAAGAGTCTGTCTGCTGAAAAGTGTTGCACTTTCTTCATGATAAATTTGTAGCCAAACAGCGCATACAGAGATGGAGTGGAGACTCTGGTGAGAAGAAACCCGTGTGGTGACATATACTACAGTAGGAGTGGTTAGGGGGGCTGAGATGGGCTAGAAATAGGGCAGCTGACTTGGGACCAGAAAGTTGCGATTCGACTCCCAGCCATTCCCACATGTCGTGGTGTGGCTGAGCAAGACACCTAATCCCTAATTGCTCCCTGGGCACTTACAAAGCTGCCCACTGCTCCACCTGGGTGTATCCCAGGTGTGATGGGTTAAATGCCAAGAACTAATTTTGCCGTTGTATGGGAACATACGATGACAAGCTCAGACTTCCCAAGAGCTCTGCGTCTCGTGGACTATGAAAGGTGTGTGTGGAAATGAACGTCCTGCAACCACTTGACCACAAGTAGAATGTTCCTCTTCAGATGAAGTATGCTGGGCTCTTAAGGTCCTGTCCAAGAAAAAATTTGCAAAACAAACTTTCATTTTCTTTTGCACTTTACATACAAATTCCACTTAGGTGAGGAATAACTAAAACATTTTCAAATGGTTTTTTTTACGTACTTCTCTAGTTATTTTGTGAAACAGTGATCATGTTCATGGAGCAATGATCATGATCACTGAGTCTGCTTTGTGTGTAGTGCTTGTCTACTGTTACTTTATGTACTAAGGTTGTGCCAGAAAGCACAGCAAAAGCAGTGCTATTTCAACTATTTTTACCATTGTCGACCTTGTCAATATCACAATTTATTTTTGTGTTGGGTAGGTTAATTATTGCTAGGAAACTGTAAACATAAAAAAGAGCTGCAGTTGTTGGAAGAATCATGCTCTATTGTCAAAATCTTCATCCTTTGTATTTTGACCTATTGGTACTGTGAACGTTATCACCACCTTCTGACACACTTCATGAATCAAACCACACCTATTTTCAAACTTAATCTGATTTAAATTCAATTCAGTTTATTTCTATATCACCAAGTCACAACAGAAGTTGTCTCAGGACACTGAACTAAAACATTCACATGCATTAAAAAAAGCCAATTAGTAAAAGTTATTTATCTAAGGAAGCCGGCAGATTGCGTTGAATTTTCACTTCGTCTTAGTCTCCTATACTGAGCAAGAACAAAGGCAACAGTGGGAAGAAAAAACTCCCTTTTAACAGGAATAAACCTCCAGCAGAATCAGACTCAGGATGAGCGGACATCTGCTTCGACCAACTGGGGTTTGAGAGGAACATGAAGGAGAAACAAACGAGCACAGAATGGCAGGTCCAGGTGTACTTTCTATTGGGAGAAAGACAAAAAAACAGATGTTAAGGATATAAATAATTACAAATACAAAGAAATACAACTTATTTTCATCAGCAAGATAGCACAATGATTCAAGACAAATTAGTCACCCTGCAGTGTGTGCTGTTAAGACATTAGTAACATCTCATACACAGCAGACAACAACTCTATTGCTTATGAAGCTACTACAGTCTGCTTTAAAATATTTGAATAGGATTTCACTGTTTATAATACCTTTGAGGCATCATTGTAATGCTGGTAATGTGTGTTATAGTTAGATGTGTTTTTAACCACCATGTCACCTGCTGTTACTGAAACAACAAAGGTTGTTTTGAGTGCGTTGCCTGGCGGTGTTATGTGTCTCTGAGACCAGATTTTTGTCAGCATGATGGATGCTGCAACCAAGTAAGATAGACACAAAGGTTCATAAATGAGTGTCGTGGGCATCACTATGAAGGTTGAGTTTGTAGGGAGAAACATCCTTGTCCCCGACTTTTGCCCTTGTCCCACATTCCTTTTTGTTTCTGAAGTATTTGCAGCTCCCAGCATAAAACATCTTTATTTGATTTATAAATATGTAATATTTTTTAGATTATGTGTGCCCTAAGAAGTCCTTGGCACTACTGGTGACATGAATTTATTGCACAATTTCCTGTATTGCAGTGATGATTTGAATGTTTCATATTGGAGAGATCCATGATGATGTGCAAATGTGTTTTTTTTTTTTCCTTGTAGCTCTTTAAACAGTTCTTAATTTATAATTTTTAACAGCTGCAGAGACATCACTATCTTCCTCTTCCTATTATTACTACTACCTACAATTGTCCATTAAAAATGAGCGAGTATATTAGAGCAGAACATTAGGTGCTTGAGATGCTATTTTTGAACTTCTATAAATGCAAAGGTATGAACATTTCATTCAAGAGTTGCAATAATGCAGCAATGAAATTGAGCAGGAATTAATTAAAATGTATCTCCAGGGCAATAAAATTGTGTCAAAATATTGTACTGTAATTTAATAACAGGAAAAGAACTGAAGGAAGGGAGGATTCGTCCATCTCAAACTTCATAAGAAAGAATGTAGCCACATTTAGTTTTATAGAGTTCACATCAGTTTTATTTATCTATAAAAGTAGCTTTTTAACCTTAAAACTAATACTGTCACTGTCAAGCTTTATTATTAGGAAATAAAATTGAACCAATGAAAAACACTTTATTCTTGTATTAAATAATCTACAATCTTAATAATTTTCCCCTTTTAACACCAAGTCACAAGTTGAAACTTTTTGAATTGAAAATACAAACTATTTTCCACTTTGTTGTTTTTGTACCTTATTTATGTCCTGATTCATTTTTGTTAATTCAAGTAGATACATCTATCAAGGTTGAGTCCGGTCCTCTAGACGGTTTCTTCTTTGTTAAAACGTTTCATCTTTTATCCAAATGACTTCTTCAGTCTGAGGAGCTGCAACAAACTCGGTCTTATAAATAGCACCTTCTCATAGTAACTGATTACTATGGTTAATAACTGGTTGATGAGAAGAGTTACTATGAGAAGGTGCATTTTTTAAGACAGGTTTCTTGCAGCTCCTCAGACTGCTAAAGTCTTTTGGATAAAATATGAAACTTTTCAACAAAGAAGAATCTATCCTAAGGACCTGACAACCTTGTTAGATGTGCCTTCTTTATTTTCTGTTCACATATTATTGTTGCATCTCAGCCTGTTTTATTTTGTTTTTATACCCATTATTCTTCCCTCTGCGCAGAGTGAGAGCAATTTATGTATACCTGTGTACAACCATAAATGCTCCATAAAATACTGCCTCTTATGTTACTCTTTTTCAATAAAGCTGATATTATGTGTTTTTAGTCACTTTAAGCTTGAACTGCATTTCTTTTTTCTTGTCCACTTGCAGTATACAATGCAGTGGGTCTCGCAGCATATGAGTTGTTTGACAATGTGGACTTTGACCAGTGGTTCAAGAATCAACTTCTTGGAGAACTGCAAGTCACTCATCACAGGTATTGTGTTTGCTGTTTTGCAATTTCAAAAATTATTTGAGTTGCTACAATCTCCACTCCCCATCTGGAAGTAGCGGAGCTGTCTGCCGCTGGGGGTGGGGGAGATTTTCTAGGCGGGGTTCTTGCTGTCGACAGGTCGGGGCACCTTCCTTGAATAATGGTATGGGAAACACTGCATTTATTTCGGCAAATGTGCAGAGATCTGTACACAGCAATTTTTCCCTTGTTGCACTGCAGGATAGTGAAAATGAAATGTTTTTAAGAAGGGATACAACATTGGGGTTAACAATAGTGTGAATGAGTATCTTTGCATTGGCAAGATCCCTAATGGCTTTACACATAAATGTGTAGAAGTACGTCAAGGCCTTTAACCTTTTCCCCTATTATAGCCAGTGGCTCAGTGAATAAGTGCTAATAAATCAAGGAACAAGTTCACTCATTTTCTGTTTAGGCTATACTAACTTTTTCTTATTAATAACAACCAAGGTCATTGTGTGAGCACTCAGGTAGTTAAACAAGTTTAAAACACAAGTATACAAAGTGGGAAGGAACTTGATGTCATGGGTACAGTCAGAACAAATGACTCACAATAAGCTGCCTTACGCATGCATGTAGAAAAAGTTGTAAAAGAGGGAGAGTGCCCGAGGCGAGGTGGCTTGTTTGAAATGAAGAACAAAGAAGTGCCCTTCACACACAGACCCCAAAGTGAACAAAACACAAAAGCCTACATCACTCAAAAGGTCGTCTACTCAGGTTGGTGCTGACGTCAGAGTGCAAGCATGGTGCTGTTACACTGACCCCGAGTCTACACTGTGCAGATGTGACCAAACCCTGGACATTTACCTGGATCTTTATTCCTTTGTATTTTGAGTCTTCCATTCATACATATATATATATATATATAT